AGTAGACTGCCAGAGCCCACGGGTTCGAGACCCACCTGGGCAACTTGGCAAGACCTTTACAATAAATCAAAAATCAGCCGGGCATGGTAGCACGCAGCTGTAATTCCGGCTACTCGGAAGGCTGAGGCGGAAGGATCGCCGGAGCCCAGCAGGTCGACGCTGCGGTGGCCGGGAGTGGCCACTGCACTCCAGTCCGGGTGAGAGAGTGAGACTCCAACTCAAAAAAATAAAATAAAATAAAATAAAAATAAAAATCTGGAAGATCACACAGGCCAGACTCAGTGGCTCAGCCTGTAATCCCAGCACTTTGGGAGGCCAAGATGAGTAGACTGCCAGAGCCCACGGGTTCGAGACCCACCTGGGCAACTTGGCAAGACCTTTACAATAAATCAAAAATCAGCCGGGCATGGTAGCACGCAGCTGTAATTCCGGCTACTCGGAAGGCTGAGGCGGAAGGATCGCCGGAGCCCAGCAGGTCGACGCTGCGGTGGCCGGGAGTGGCCACTGCACTCCAGTCCGGGTGAGAGAGTGAGACTCCAACTCAAAAAAATAAAATAAAATAAAATAAAAATAAAAATCTGGAAGATCACACAGGCCAGACTCAGTGGCTCAGCCTGTAATCCCAGCACTTTGGGAGGCCAAGATGAGTAGACTGCCAGAGCCCACGGGTTCGAGACCCACCTGGGCAACTTGGCAAGACCTTTACAATAAATCAAAAATCAGCCGGGCATGGTAGCACGCAGCTGTAATTCCGGCTACTCGGAAGGCTGAGGCGGAAGGATCGCCGGAGCCCAGCAGGTCGACGCTGCGGTGGCCGGGAGTGGCCACTGCACTCCAGTCCGGGTGAGAGAGTGAGACTCCAACTCAAAAAAATAAAATAAAATAAAATAAAAATAAAAATCTGGAAGATCACACAGGCCAGACTCAGTGGCTCAGCCTGTAATCCCAGCACTTTGGGAGGCCAAGATGAGTAAATTGCCTGAGCCCACACGTTTGAGATCGACCCAGGCAACTTGGCGAGACCTCGTCTCTACAATAAATTTTTAAAATATTAGCCAGGTATGGTAGCATGCAGCTACAGTTCTGACTACTTGGAAGGTTGAGGCGAAGTATCACCTGATCTCAGCAAAGCGACACTGAGGTGGCTGTGAGTGTGCCGTGGCACTCGAGCCTGGGTGACAGAGTGAGACTTCAATTCAAAAATAATTATAATAATTTAAAAAAATAAAGTAAATAAATAAGATCTGGAAGATCAGTTCTTTCCTGCCTTCAAACTCAGACTGAAACATGGGCTTCTTCTGGGTCTGGAGCCTGCTGGCATTTGTATTGGAATTATGTAATCAGCTCTCCTGGGTCTCTAGCCACCTATCTGGAGATCTTGGTACTTGTCAGCCTCCGTAATCACATGAGCCATTTCGTTATGTTGAATCTCTATTCTCTCTCTCTCTCTCTCTCTCTCTCTCTCTCTCTCTGTGTGTGTGTGTGTGTGTGTGTGTGTGTGTGTGTCTGTGTCTGTCTCTGTCTCTGTCTCTCTTCTTCAGAGAACCCTAATACAAATTTTGGTTCTATTGTGATCTGATGATAGATATACATAAAATATCACTATTGTATACCCTTAGTCAACTGCTTATAAGAAGCAGATACTTAGGTGACTGTCTGTGTGATATATTCAGACACGTTTGGCAAACTGTTGACTATAATGAGATTGTCTGGTTGTGCCTAAAGTCACTGGACAAAGTAGGAAAACAAAAGGACGAGTTCATGGATCCAAATTCTGAGATCGTTGCTGCATACATGACCTGAAAGCTCCTACAAATGCCCTAAAGGAGACCCTTATCTCCTATATTCACAGTGCTGAGATGACTGAAAATTAAACTCAGAGCCTCATCCTATGGCAGAATTTAGACACAAGTTGAATTTCCAGTTTTGTAGGGTGTCTGCTATTATGAGGACATTAATTGGGAAGAAATAGTATACTGCAAGTGGGACTGGAGATGTGCAGGAAGAGCCTGATGAAACTGGGGACATTTGGGCCCTAAAGCCTGATGAAGAGCTAGTAGAGGAGACCTCTCCACCCCTGGTGGTTGCGGGCTTCATCCATGAAGTCTGAGGGTGAAGACGCTGTAATGGCATCCCCTGAGGCAGTTGCCATGCCAACAGTGCTGCGTCTTCTCGGGACCCACCCCTACCACCCCTTTTTGCCTCTAGACCTGTAATTTGACTTGAGTCCTAGGAGGCCCCTAAAGGCAAGATTCAGAATGTGACCATGGGGTGGTATCTTACACTCTTTGAGAACTATATGCGTTTTCTCATTTATGCAGATATAAATCCAGGGAACATTTGTGAGAATGGGTATTAAGGGTGTTGCATAATGGTGGAAAGAACATAAAGTGTATCAGGCTGAATTTATTGATATGGGCTCACTAAGCAGAGAGTCTGCATGTAGTGTTGCAACTCAGAGAGTTAGACAGGGCTCTGACTGATTAGTTGGTTGAAAAATGGACCAAGAGGTGACCCACCACCAGTGAGGTGGAAATAACTGGAACTTCCATGGTTTAATGTAGAGGAAGCGATTCAAAACTTTGGAGGTCTGAATGTTACAGTGGATTTGTCATTTAAGATCTGGGAGAGTCCAGAAGACATACTTAAATTTTACCATGACGATGAGAAATGGATTTGTGAGGGAAGCCCTGGTGTCCTTGTTATCTGCAGGCCAGTCCTTACCGTGGGAACTGCAGTCCGTCTGAATTAGGAAACCCAAATGCAATGGGAATAATTGGATCCCAAGGCAGAGGGGGCCAAGTAGTGGCAGTCAACCACCAAAGGCAAGTTTACATAGTAACGGTAATGGACAACAGAGTCAAAGCAGCAATCAAAATGGTCATTTGCTAGCATTAGCTGGGAAGCCTGATACGTTCTTACTTGATCAATATAAGCAAAAAAGTTCCAGGTCAAGTGAACCAAAATCTAACCTGAATAAAAACAGAGTTTCATGACCCTGCAATCAACTCCCAGACTAGAACCAGTTTATAGACCCACAACTCCTTGAGTGGAATGACAGAGAGGCTAGATATCCTCTTGAGGAAGGACCCTGGTACACTTCCAAAAACTTATGGTGTTAACTTTTCTCCCAGCCTTTCTCAAAGGACCTATGGCTTTTTACCAGAGTATGCACGAACGGAAGGAGGCAATCCGATCTTTTAAGAACTGCTAGATACCAGCTCTGAACTGACTCTAATTTCAGGAGACCCCAGATGTCACTGTGGTCCATCAGTCAGAATAGGGGCTTTTTTTTGCAAGTCAAGTGATCAATGGAATTTTAGCTCAGATCCATCTCACAGTAGATCAGTGAGTTTCCAGACCTTTCCTGCGGTTGTTTCTCCAGTTCTGGAATGCATAATTGGAATAAATGTACTCAGCAGTTGAAAAGAATCTCTACATTTGTTCCCCGCCTTGTGTAGTGAGAGCTGTTATGATTAAATGGCCAAATGGAAGTCACCAGAACTGCCCTCTATCTAGGAAAATACTAAACCAAAATCATCATGTCACATTCTTGGAGGAACTACAGAGATTAGTGTCACCAGGGTTGGTGATTTCCATCATATCCCGATTCAATTAGCCTATCTGGCCTATGTAGAAGACAGGTGGAACTTGGAGAATGACAGTGGACTCCTGTAAGGTTAACCAGATTGTGACTCCGATTGCAGTTGCTCTACCAGATCTGGTTTTATTGCATGAGCAAATTGATACATCTTTGGTACCTAATATGCTGCTGTTGATCTAGACAATGCCTTTTTTCTTCATCCCTGTCAATAAGGCCTATCAGAAGCAGTTTGTGTTTACCTGGCAAGACCAGCAGACACTCCCCGTCTCAAGGATGTGCCGTTTCTCAGCCTTGTGCCATACTTTAGTTTGCATTTTACCCTTTCACAGGATTTCACATTGGTTTTTACACTGATACTTGCTGATCAAACCTGGTGAGCAAGAAGTAGCAAATGCCCTAGATCTGTTGGTAAGACATTTGCATGCCAGAAAATGGGAAATCTGACAGAAATTCAGAAGCCTTGTATCTCGGCGAAATTCCTAGGGATCCAGTGGCGCGGAGCATATTGAGATTGCCTTTCTAAGAGGAAGGGTACCTTACGATGAAAAAAATGAACACAACACTGAGTGGGCCTCTTTGGATCTTGGAGGTAACATGGTCCTCACTTGAGTATATTACTGAGTGTTCCAAAAATGTGCTAGTTTTGAGTGGGGACCAGAACAGAGATGGTACTAATCCTTGCCCCACAAATTCTCAGTCAGTAATTCTAACATAGGGTCCCAGGAAACTGCACTTTTCATAAGTACTTTAGGTGATTTTGGTGCAGGTACTTCAAGTAACTTATGAGCAGAATAAGGATCTTTAATGGGCTCCCAGAACATTACAAATGTTTGTGAACCATTGTCCTAAGCGGTGTTCACAATCTCTTTTTTCCTCTACTAGTACCTATCCCAAACACAATGCAAATCTAAAAACTAAAAATTTTGGAATTTCAAATACCTAAGACCATTCATTTCATTTTCCAAAAACTAGTTAAAAAGAGAGAAATTACTTTTAAAGTAAATTTTTTTTAAAGTTGAGCAAAATATACATTTTTTGCATGTGTGTTACCTTCCTCATAAATGATTGCCTTAGTTCATATCTTTGTTTCTGGAAAACATCTTTTCACTATCTTCAGATACATTTCTTAGGATTTTGGTTTTGGTTTTGTTCTCTTTTCCATAATATGACATGCATGCATATGTGCAAATATAATAAACATGTTTTCTTCATTGAATATAAAATTTCAAAACATTATGCAATAGACCGATCATGTTAACCTTGAAAGGAGTAGTTTTATTTCTACATCTCTGCCAAGCTACTTGGAAAAGTAAACTAAAATTTTATGTTTTCATGGTTAAAATAGAATTTTCTAGTTAATTTAAAAATAACTAATATTCATTGTTATATATCCTAGGCATTTACACTGTTTGCTACACATTTCCTGGAACTATGCCATTTAGATGTCCTGTATCCTAATGTGGAAAACATGCATTTTGAAGTGCAACATGTAAAGAATGCCACAAGAAATAAGGAAACAATTTTGTATACCTACAAACTGTCTAAGGGACTCACAGAAGAGAAAAATTATGGTACTGCATGTAGAAATTATACCCATTCATTGAAAAGCTATATATTCTGCAAAGACAAGGTTTCATCTCCTCTTGACTTGGCTGTCAATCTAAGCAACTTTTGCTGTCATACTTCTGAGTGCTTATTTTCTCTTAGACTGTATTTCCTATGTCAAACCAATATATAAATATTAAAATCTTACTTTTAAACTATTATGAACAGTAACTATGTAGAACTACGGCACATGAAAACCCTTGGTTTATGTTTGCAAGTTATATTAATTTAAATGTTTATATTTTCTTTGTTTTTTTCAGGTTCAGGAAATTAAGTCTAAAATCTTAAAAGGGATTGTATTACCAAATTATGTGATATTCTTAAACTTGGTTAATACTACCTATATTATTAAATCTCACAGACTCAGAATCTTCATTGATCTGTACATATAAGTTCCAAATATTATTTTATCTATGAATGTGACCTTCTGAGAGAAAAAAAATAACTTTCTTTTGCTATTTGAAATGGGAAATCAACTGGATAACTTATTGTATCAGTTGTTTAATCTTCATCAGCCTCAATTTCATTATCTATGAAATGGGGGTCATTTTTTATATATGTGTAGTTGTGAAAATTCAATGAATTATCAAGTGTGAACTGCCAAGTATTGTCCCTAGCAATTAGTAACTTCTCAATAAATGTTGGTGTTGCTTCTATTGCTTCAAAAGCAGTAAATATAGTAAACTATTAGAACACAGTAGAAGGCCTATATGGCATTTATACAATAAATTAGGCTCTGAAAACATGAGAATAATAGTTGATACTTTGAACTTGCACAAGGAGTAGTCACCTACTATTATGTCTTCTGAGAAATTTAAGTCTCATTGGTCCACTAGGTAGATGAATGTTCAGCCATAGGATTATCTCCTTGACTAGACTTTCTCTTTTCCTGCAAAACCCATATGTCCTTTGACCTTCTGTTAGCCAATTACATATGTAATTGGAATTTCAATGTTATTATTTTCTAATTATCTCTTTTGGTTTGTGCTGTCTCAGAGGTATGTTGAGAAGTAATTGATATTCTAATTATATGTCTTAGACAAGTAATTAAATCTAATAATTGATAAGTTGTCATTCCAAAACTTTGAGAAACTTAGAGAATTGTTGAGTACTTCAGAAATGCCTGTAGAAGGGAGGTTGAAATCTGTGAAGAAAATATTAATAATAAATATTAAAACAAACATAATAATATTAAAACAAACATAACTGACAGCAATAACAATATTGAAGCCCATTTAAAAAATAATTTTAGGATTAAAAGCTGCAGAGGTGTCATCACTTCCACCATCAATTGTCTTGGATGCCAAAGAAATCACAACTCAAATTACAAGACAAATTTTGGTAAGAAATTTTTAACAGTAAGAATTGTTTGTGTTGCACATTAAAGAAAATACTTTTAACCTACATTTTTATTATGGCCTTTGATCTCAATATGTAGTAATTAATATAATAATTAAAATATTTACAATAAAAATAATTTATAAGCAAAGAAAATACTTTAAATTTTTATTAAAATTTATTTTTTTTTATTTTAAATTCAGGGGATACATGCTCAGGTTGTTACATAGGTATATTGCGTGATGGGGAGGTTTGGGCTTCTCTTGAACCTGTCCATCCAAATAATGAGCATGGTACTCAGTAGATAGTTTTTTAATCCTTTCCTCCCTCCCTTCTTCCCCTCTTTATTCTCCAATGTCTGTTCTCATCTCTGTGTTCGTGTGTACCCAGTGTTTGGCTCCCACTTAGAGTGAGAATACACAGTATTTGGTTTTTTATGGCTGTGTGGTATTCCATGGTGGACACGTACCATGGTTGGTTCCAAGTCCTTGCTATTGTGATTGGTGCTGCGATAAGCATACAAGTGCAAGCGTCTTTTTGGTTAGATGAATCATGTTCCTTTGGGCATATGCCCAGTATTGCTGCATCAAGTAGTAATTCTATTTTTAGTTATTTGAGAAATCTCCAAACTGCTTTCCACAGGGACTGAGCTAGTGTATGTTCCCACCAGCAGTGTATGAATAGTCCCTCTTCTCTGCAACCTCACCAACATCTGTTGTTTTTTGTCTTATTATTATAGCCATTCCGACATGGGTGAGATAGTGTCTCATTGTGACTTTGATTTGCATTTCTCTGATGATTCCTCACGTTGAGCACTTTTTCATGTTTATTGGCCACTTGTATATCTTCTTTTTGATGTATCTGTTCATGTCCTTTGCCTACTTTTTAAGGCGGTTATTTGGTTTTTTCTTGTCAATTTGTTTCGCTTCCTTGTGGATTCTGGATATTCGTCCTTTATTGAAATCATAGTTTGTGGATACTTCCTCCTATTTTTTAGGTTGTCTTTTTACTCCATGGAGGAGCCTGGATGCTGTCTGCACTCAGTGCTATCTGCATTTCACCCTAATACTTACGTAGTGGCAGATGTTATACTGTTTCTTAGCTTCTAGGCTTTTTCTTGTTTTGTCTGCATTTAAAACTTCAAATTTAAAGAAAATAGTTTTAGTGTACATGTTTACTAAAGGCTTTGATCTAAATTTATAATAATTAACATGATTAAAATATTTAATTTCTAAAGAAGCAAAGAATATCCTTTTTACTTGTTCAAACTTTTTTTGTTTGGTCTATTATATCCTTTTCTAGTAAGTCAGCTAGTAAGATAGAAGAGAAAAGGTCAAGAATTTCCTATAATAATTATTGCTACCATAACTTTATAATGAGAAAATAAATCTACTTAAAGTATTAAAAATAAAATTACTATGTACATTTGCATATCTTTTCAAAAATAGTTTCAAAGCTCTTGTATCCATTACAATATGTAAATCACATAAATAATTAGGTCTTTCTAGTAAAAGATAAATAATAAAAGTACTGTTTTTAGTTTCAGTTTTGCAACTTCACAGAATAAATTTGTCTCGTTCACTGATTTGCTAAGAAACAGTAGGTCCAAACCTCAACTCATGGTTTTTAATAGAATAGGATTTTGTAAATACACATGACCAGTTTAGAAATTTGCTTAATTTAAGCAATTTAAGTTGGCTTTTCCAGTTCAGGTTGTGCCATCCTACTCTCCCACTTTAATATCTTATTTTTTGTTGTTGTTGTTTGTTTTTGAGACAGGGTTTTGTTCCATCACCCAGTGTGGAATGCAGTGATGCAATTATGACTCACTATAGCCTCAAACTCCTGGGCTCAAGGGAGCCTCCCGCTTCAGCCTCCTGAGTAACTAGAACTATAGGTGCATGACACCACAGCTGGTTAATTTTTAAATTGTTTGTAAGGATCATTATCCCATCAGATTGCACAGGATGGTCTCAAACTCCCAACTCAAAGCTATCTTCCCATCTCAGCGTCCCAAAGTGCTAGGATTACAGGCGTGTGCTACCACGTCCAACCTTGAACTCACTTCTGTTGACTTAATATTTGGAAATATTTTTAAAAATCAAGTTTCTTTATAGTTTTAAAAAATCCAGTGTGTTTAGTAAACTGAGCTAGGTGTGATGTGATATTTACTTCAATAAGTTTTCTGTGTCCCTCACTTTTTCTTTACCAGCCTTTCATTCTTACTGCATTTCTTTCTCCTTGAAGTTCCTGGACTGCCTCTGTAACTTCGCTTGCCTAATTACCCATTTGACTCCCTTCATCAGAAATTTCGACGGTGCTCTAGTTCTGCAGAACCTTTCATTATCTCTTGAAATCTCTTTAGATTTCGTCTTGCCAGATTTCAATTATGGAACACCTTTCTACTAGCCTTCTAGGCTTTGATTTTTCTAATGATGTTTGAAAAATATTCAAAACAGGCTAATTTTACTTACTACAAACTTATATATTCTAAGTTTAGTTGAATATTTTACTGGATAATTTTTTTTAATTTTTAAAATTAACACTTAATAGTTGTACATGTCTTGGGGGTACATATAATATTTTGATACTTGCATATAATGTCTAATAATTAAATTAGGTTAGTTTTTAAATCACTTTTATCATTTCTTTGTCAAAGATGTAAATGTTACCAAACATTTTTCTTCATGTTGGAAACATTCCAGTTCTTCTTTTCTAGCTATTTTGAGCTATACAGCACATTATTGTTTGATTATTGTTAAATATAGTCACCCTACTCTATTACTGAACACTAGATCCTTCTATCTAGCTGTATTTTGTACCCATTAACCCACCTCTCTTTATTCCCTTCCATGCCATATTCTTCCTAACTTTTGGTAACCCTCAGTCATCTCCATGAGATCAGTTATTTTAGCTCAAACATGAGTGAGAATGTGGTATTTGTCTTTCTGTGCCTAACTCATTTCACTTAATATAATGAACTTCTATTTTATTCATGTTGCAGCAAATGACAGGATTTTATTCATCTTTTACTAAATAATATTTTATTGTGTATATGAACCACATTGTTTAATCTGCTCTTCTGTGATGAACACTTAGGTTCATTCTCATATCTTGACTGTTGTGAATAGCTGCAGTAAACACAGGCATACAGATATTTCTTCGATACACTGATTTCATTTCTTTTGGATATATATGCATAGTGGGACTGCTGGATCATATGGTAGTTCTGTTTTTATTTTTTTTTGAGAAATGTCTATACTGTTTGTCACAGTGGCTATACTAATTTACCTTCCTATCAACAGTGTACGAGCATTCCCATTTCAACATATCCTTGCTAGCATGTTATTTTTTGTCTTTTTGGTAAAATCAGTTTTAACTGGGGTGAGATTATATTTCATTGTGGTTTTGATTTGCATTTCCTTGATGATTATTGATAGTGAGTATTTTTTCAAACATCTGTTGGTCATTTGTATGCCTTCTTTTGAGATATGTCCATTTATATCTTTTGCCCATTTTTAATCACATTATTTTTTTTTTGCTATTGAGTTCCTTATATATTTTAGTTATTACTTCCTTGTTGGAAATATAGTTTACAATATTTTCTTCCATTTTGTAGGTTACCTCTTCACTTTGTCGAATTTTCTTTTGCTGTGTAGAATCTTTTTAGTTTAATGTAATTCCTTTAGTCTATCTTGACTTTTGTTGCTTGTGCTTTAGAAGTCTTACCCAAAAAGTATTTGTGTAGACTAATGTCCTAAAGCATTTCCCAAGTTTTTTTCATGGTTTTATACCTTGCATGTAGTCCATTTTGATTTGAATTTTGTATATGGTGAGAGATTGGGGTCTAGCTTCATTCCTCTGCATGTGGTAATCTGGTTTTTCTATCATTTGTTAGAGAGACTATTGTTTTCCCAGTGTATCTTCTTGGTGCTTTTCTAAAAATTGACTATAAATATATGGATTTATTTCTGGATTCCTCCTCTGTTCCATTGGTCTGTATGTCTATTTTATGTCAGGGCCATGCTGTTTTGGTTACTATGGCTTTATTGTATATCTTGAAGTAAGGTAGTATGCTTTTCTTTTTGCTCAGGATTGTTTTGACTGGGGTCTTTTGTAGTTCCATATGTATTTTAGAATTTTTTTTCTATTTCTGTCAATAATGTCATTGATATTTTGAATAGGTATTGGTATTTTGCATTGAATCTGTAAATCCCTTTGGGTCGTATTGACATTTTAGCAGTATGTATTATTCCAGTCTATGAACACCGGACATCTTTTCCTTTTTTTGTCCGCTTTCATTTCCATCATCAAGATTTTATGCTTTTTCTTATAGTGATCCCTTAATTATTCGGTGAAACTTATTCCTAGGTGTTTCATATTTTTGCAGCTGTTGTGAATAGGATTGCTTTCTTAATTATTTTTTCAGTTTGTTTGCTATTGACATATATAAAGGTTTCTGATTTTTGTTTACTAGTATTATGCTGAGGATTTTTATCTCTGTGTTCTTCAAGAATATTGGCCTGTATTTTTCTTTTTTGTTGTTGTTTGTAACCTAGTCTGCTTTTAGTATGAGGTTAATGCTGGCCTTGTAAAATGAATTTGGAAGTATTCCTTGCTTTTCAATCTTTTGGAATAGTTGTAGCAGAATTGGTATAAGTTCTTTATATGTTGGATAGAGTTAAGTAGTGAAGTCATCAGGTCCTGGGATTTTCTTTTTTGGAAGAATGTTTTATTAGTTTTTTGTTTTGTTTTGTTGTTGTTGTTTATAAAGTAGGATTTATTGAGAAGACAGAAAAGTTCCCACAGTGGGAGGAGACCTGAGGGGTTGCCCTATTAGTGTTTTAATCATGTTACTTGGTTTGTTCAGTAGGTTTCTTGGTAGATTTTTTGCATCTCCTAATTTATTTATTTATTCTAATTTTTTAAAATTCTTCAAATTTTCCAATTTGTTGGCCTGTGGTTGTTTATAATAGTCTCTAATGATCCTTTGTATTTCTGTG